CTGTACCAGGAAGGACTCTCCGTTCTCCTCGGGATTTTATCTCGCCTCTCTTTTTTCCATTTTCTCTTTTTCTCCATGTGTCCTCATCCCTTCCTGACCCTCCGTTTGTCCGTCCTCGACGAAAGTGTTGCACGCACGTGCATTAAGCTCGGTTCGGCGAGCATAAAGCTCCGTACGTGGAACTCGGTGATAAGGGCGCTCGCTGATAAGGGCGGCTCGATGATGCCCGCAACCACTCGGGCCAAGTGCGCCGTGATAACGATTATCTGTCGCCGGTATTGCAGGCCGCGACACGTGGGTGCATCCCCGCGTTTCTCACGGATTGGCCGACATTTCTCGACGCCGAAATTTCGGGGACTCGGGGATCCCCTGATAAGGCTTTGCTCGGCCCCCTGTCGTTATCAGAGAATGGTCTCTGCGGTTTTTGCGACTTCTGCGATGACGGCATCGGCGAAGTGTCACCACGCCTGGAATCCGCCGAGCTGACGCCCGCGAATTCGCGAGGCGTTCTCGGAAACGTCGGAAGGCTTTGAAGACCCGGATGGTGTCGTCATCGCGGTCGCGATAAGGGGTATCAGGGCGGTATCTCTAATGAGAATTTTGAAGAGAAAAAAAAAATTTTTTTACAGTCATTTTAATCGATTTCTTACGTACTCAACTATGTACTCGTTGACTTCCCAGCGAGGCGGGGACAATTAAATAAAAATTGCCAAATTACCGAAATGAATAAATTTAATATATAAGAGCGATCTGCTAACGACGAGAATTTTGTAAACATTTTTCTCGGACTTTGTATTCGGTTTCTTTATTATTTTTTTTTCATCTTTTTAACCACGTACTCGTCGACTTTTAATAATAAATTATTCTTAAGGCGATGCGAAAGTGGTGTCGAGGAGGTTTTGTTTATAAAACCTTTCTCCCAACTTGGTTTACGGAATAGTTTGAAACTTTACAACGTGAATAGGGAAACTGTAAGGAAGGTCCTGAAACTCATGAAATTTCAATTCTTTTCTAATTTGTTTATAGATATTTTAAAAATAGTTTATGAGAATTGAAATTTCGCGAGTTTCAGGACCTTTCTTAGGGTCTCCGTATTCGCGTTTTAAAGTATGAAACGATTTGAGACACCCAGTTCGTAGATAAGTTTTATGAACGATTGAGCTTTCGGATGCCACTTTGACATCCCCTTAAGAGGGTGAATAAAATTGATATTTTACTGAAATTTAATATATTTATTGTCGAGGGAGGTCGGTGAAAATTGAGTTTCGCCAAGCCGTTTCCGGGATCCCCGGCATCAACGTCACTCGTAAGCGCCGTTTAACGGCCTTTCCGTGCCGTCTCGTCCGCTTGCCGCCTTAACGTTCCTCATCGGTGCATCGGACATCCTCGCGGATGTCCGTCGTCCGCGTAATTCGTTATCAGTGGGCGCGTTAAGGTCGGTGTACGGTTGCACGTACTCGCGATAGTGATTACGCGGAAGGCCGGGCACTGTCGGCTTCTGGGAAAGAGATACATGGATTTTATTCCCTTCTTTTCAATCCTAATCTCCGGCAGAGTGCTATCAGTGGCTGGAATTAATCATTGAATTAACTCTTCTCGGAAGCTGAGCAGATCACTCGGGGAGGTCCAACGCGAGATCGATCGATCGATCGATCGGTTAGGGCGGTCGCGTATAACGAAACCGTTTAACGGGAACCAGAAGGAGACCCGACGTTCCATCTTGTCTCGAGTTTCGATATGGCACACCTCGAAGGGAACTCGTTTAACAAGAAAGTGCGGCCTGGCGCTCGTGTTCCACCTGCAAAAAAGCTCCTTCCACTCCAACTCGAGGAAACTTTTCCGAGCTGGCCTAACTTTCCGGGCCGGCAAGGCGGCACGTAAACTATCGGCGAGGAAGGTAAAAACGCGAACCAGGGGACCGACACGAAGGTGGCGGAAACTTCGGCACCATTGCATTCCCGTAATTATTCGATTCGGAAGGAACGAAAAAGTGGAGGTGGAAATGGTAGAACATGCCTACTTAATATTCTGATCTCGGGTCGTCCCCTTTTGGAGGAAAGGAGACGAGATGGCGAATTTGAGTCTACGAGAAATCCCGATTGCGCAGTGTTAACACATTCGCGACCGGCTAATTTTTTCCGTTTTAAATACCGAGTACCGGCGAAAATAATGAAATTCTTAAACAGGTTGCCGCTTACTTGTATCGTGTATCGTTATGGACGTGATTCACGTCTGCGGTAATCAGGAATAGAATTTAAAATGACGTGAATTCACGTCAGCGGTAATCAGGAATAGAATTTAAAATGACGTGAATTCACGTCAGCGGTAATCAGGAATAGAATTTAAAATGACGTGAATTCACGTCAGCGGTAATCAGGAATAGAATTTAAAATGACGTGAATTCACGTCAGCGGTCGCGAATGTGTTAAATGAAATATTATAATTTTATAAGATTTTTCTTGGAAGTCTCACTCAGGCATGGCGTGCTAATTTTACAACATATTTTCAAATAAAACGTATAATATATGTTAGAAATTTGTCGATCGATGGTTCAGTTTAAACCACCGATAATAGTCATATATCGATTAAATTTGTTTAAAAATAAACCTAGGTAAACGATCGTAAATTGAAAAAACTCGTGTCAAAGTTTTGCAATCAATGCGTGCTAAATGACTCTCGAATCTCAGACTTATAATTTATCTCCGCAATTTTACAGGATTACAACATGGTGTTATAAAATTGTAAATTTACTTAGAATTTTATAATAAATGTGTACTAATTCATTAGACCATGAAATTTATAATTTTCCTGCAACTTTATGTACTAAAAGGGTATGCATTTTATGAATTCTTGTTAACGGTGTATTTATAGCTCCTCCTTGAAATGAATAATTATTTTATGAGGGGCCATTTCCGCGATATTTATGATTTCTCTCGGGTTATGAGGACGTTAATAATAGCGAATAATCCCATCTACAGATCTCGACTCGCGATAGATCGAGGTCGCGGCCTGGACGCTCCTCTTTCGGGTTATCCGAGCGATCCAGAGATCTTGTCGCTCGAGAAGTGCCTCGATCTAATTCCCGAGCCTAGAGGATAGAAGCCGATAAAGCCGCGAACGACGGGCATAAGTTAGACCCGGTAATGTCGGGGCAGCCGAGATCACGATTGAACCATAACTCGGATCTCCAGGATCGTCCCGAATCGCGATCGATCCGTGATAACGCCTTATCGAGCGTCGTTACTCACCCTGCCTTCCTTTTAGAATACGCGATCGGCCGATCGGATCATCCTAAAAGCTTTTTCATTTTTTATCCAAAGTAATCGCCAGGTCGGATTTTTAGACAATTAAATTCTCTGCGAACGTGTCGTATGACACAGGTACCTTTTTATCACCCTCGATCGATTAGGCCCTCTAATCACTTGTCGTGATTCACTTTCGAATGCTCCTAATAGCTATTTTAATTCTTTTTTTAATTGAATTGTGACCATTTATTTGAGGTTATTCGAGGATAATAATTATTCTTCGGTTCAATGGATTTTTCTTTCGCTTTGTGTACGTATGCATAGAGGTACGGCATTGTTGTCGTCGATCGATCCCGATCGACAAATCGGTCGCTTCCGATCGATCTCCCTGGCAGAGGTCTCGGAGATGCAAATTCACCGTTGGCATTAAATCGACATCGGTCTTGCTTTCCTCGGAGAACGAGGCTCGATGCAAATTTCTGCGATCGATCGCCGATCGATTCGGGCGCGAGAATCGATCTCGGGTCGATCGTGCCTCGCGATCACGCGGCGCTTCCTAGTGATCCGTTCTAGGGGATCACTATAATTTTTCCCGATCGTTCGTTTCGGTAATGCCGGGCCTCGGCGAGTTTCTCCGATCGAGTCGATTACAGCTTCCCCTTCTATCTCGCTAATTTCCGATTCCGACCAAGCTCTCTCTCCAGATTGCACGAACGGATCGTTCGAACTTTGTAATAAGCACCTTGCGAGGCCGGGAATGCGAAATCCTGTCGAACTGGAGAATTTCGGACCCGAGGATCGACCCTGATCGAAGCACGAAAAATTGCGCGAATCTCAAGGGAAAAGAAAAAAGGGGAGAAAAAAATAAACAGAAAGAAAGAATTCATCGAACCAAAAAAAACATTCCTCTGTACGGTACCAAAGGAATAATTCAAAGAATATCTCTTTGACTAAAATGAACTCAAATTAATTGTCAAAATTTCCGAAGAAATGTTGCGCCCAATTAATTCGAGTTCATTCCAGTGACATAATTATTCATTCCTTCGGTACTATTCAAGGAAATATTTTTTTTCGTTCAGTGAAATTATTTTTTCTCAGAGCGATAGAAAATAACGCGAAATGCTGTCGAACTGGAGAATTTCGGACCCGAGGATCGACACTGATCGAAGCACGAAAAATTGTGCGAATCTCAAGGGAAAAGAAAAAAAGGGGAGAACAAAACTAACAAAAAGAAAGAATTCATCGAACCAAAGAAAACTGTACAGTACCAAAGGAATAATTCAAAGAATTATTTTTGAATATAACATAATTATTCATTGAATTAAGTATTCCTTCGGTACCATTCAATGAAATATTTCTTTCGTTCAGTGAAATTATTATTTTTTCTCAGGGCAGTAGGAAACAACGTGGACTCAGGAAACGGGAATGAATTTTTTTCCTACGAACAACCGCGAGATTATCCTGGTCCTGATTTTATATTCTTGGGTTCTGGTCTTGTACTTTATTTTTTAATAAGACGTAAGAACTTAATAAACTTTCCTCCTCGATGGATGAATTTTCTCCGGCCGAGGGAAAATATCGGCGGGGGGATATGGACTTTTCCTCGATGCGAGGACATCGAGGCGTCTCGGAGCGAACTTCGCGAGGATTCTCCAGGATGTCTCGGTGGAGGCGCGACGAATTGGATTTTTAAGGACGAGTTTTTCCGAGGACCGCTCACGTGGACTCGTTACAGCGGTACCTCGTTTGTTGCAGGAGAGGACACCAGTGGTTACACCGGGAAGCCGTTGCCGACTTACAAGCCGGCCTCGCAGTTGGTCCCCCTTGGTGGCACGGCCAGGCTCTTCTGCGAAGCTTACCTAGGAAAAGTCGATCTCCCGGATGCCAAGAATTCCGTCACCTGGTCCAGGGTGGGCAGCAACGTCACTCTTCCGAACCACGGGAGAATATCGCAACACCGGGTGTCTCGGTGAGTGTTTGAGATTCCCGACTCTCATATATATATAATATATGATCATATATACGTGTGTATATATATCTATCGCCCATCTATACGACACAGAAATCTTCCTGAGACGTCTTGGAAAACGCGACGAACGTCGCATTTTCCTGGGCTTTTTCCTTCTGGAGAACAGTGCACCGTTTGCGTGTCCAATTGAGTGCAGAAAACGTCTGGAGGAGTCGACACGTTTCCGGAACTTATTCGAGGATCCCTCGCGTGTCTTCGAGGACGACAGACGCGTCCAGAATATGTCCCGAACGAGTTCGAGGCGTCACGTTCCTCGATCGTCGTCCCCGAGACAGTCGCGCGGGTCTTCGGGTCTGGTTCCCCTCGGTAATTTCGGGAAAATAGACGTCACCAAGGATGGCTTCGTTCCCCGAGGAGAATTATCCTGGGGGATACAAAAAGCCGAGTACCCTTCTATACGTACATCGTTTAAATCTAAAAAATCGTCGAACATGTCTCGAGAGAAGGCCCCCTTTCCTAGATAGAATTATCCTGCAGGAGAAGAACCGAGTCAGGACCTCTAGATTTCGATTTATAAAGGGCATGCCGAAGGAGGATAAATTCTGCCGTTCCTTTCGCCGAGAGAGAGAGGGAGGTAAAAATGAATAATAATTCCCAGGATCGGAGCGAGTCCAGGGGAATTTTTAAGAGGCAGGGAAGAGAGGATCCGTCCTTCTCTTAGGTCGGAAAAACTCGCAGGACTCGGCGGAGCGAGGCTAAAGGGGCAGGACACGAGTCGAACCCGGGGACAAAAAAGCGTCCTCGGACCGGCCCCTCTCCCCTGCGATTCGTTCCACGGTTCCCGTGCCTTCTAATTATTTCCAGGGTCCTCCGCGCGTCCACTTTCTCTGATTGTCTCCTCGAAAGCCGGCCGGTTTAATGCTTCCAGGAGACTCGAAATCCGCAGGTTTCCCTCCCGCGGCCGTTCCGCGAAATTGGAACTCGGAAGAGGTCCCTTTAAACCCCCCGGCCGTCGTAGCGCCCTTTTTCTCCCTCGCCTCTTCCATGAACCAGCGTAAACTTTACGACGAATCCGTAATGTCGAAGACCACGCGAAAAACCCTCGATCCTTGCCCCAAACTACCGGCCATTCCTCCTGAGGGAAGAAACGAGGCCGAGGCGGATCGCGAAACCGCGGAGTCGCGGAATCGCTGATCCGCGTCCTCGCGGATTCGTCTTGGCTGCGGTCTCCTCCTCTACCGTTTCCATCCTGCCTCTTTCTTATGTATATAAAGCTGGAATTGCAACTTTAGCACAATTCAATAAAATTTGTTGCAAAATTTATTGCTAATTCATTGCTATTCTATCGCATAAAAAAACAATACTTTGCTCTTGTACTTTTCCGAAAAATTCTGGCGTTGTCAGCTTTATATAAAGTGCCACAATAAAAAATAATTATTAAGTAAACGTTCATCGATGGATTACATATCAGAATTTATTGCTAATTAATTGCTAGCAGAAAAATCAAATTTCAATTTTTTTGCTCACCCCTAGTGATGATCACAATGAAATACATGGGAGAATCGAACTATTTCTTCACGTGGGAATTGATCGCTAATTACTGTAGGTTTGAAAATTGAAATTTGGTTTTTCTGCGAGCAATTAATTAGCAACAAGTTCTGGTATATAATTCATCGATGAACATTTACTTAATAATTGTTTTTTATCGTGGCAGTGCTAGCTTTATACAAAGCTGACATCGCCACCATTTTTCGGAAAGGTATAAGAGCAAAAAAATTTTTGTTTTCTTGTGCAATAAATTAGCAATCAATTTTGCGGCCAATCTTATTGAATCGTGCTAAAGTGGCAATTCCAGCTTTATATACATCTCTTTATTCCCGTACAATCGATTATCGGAGTAAAATTCATCGGGGTAACGTCTATCACCGGGATGAAATTAATCATCCCTTCTTCTCTACCTCGATAAGAGCGAGACCCCTTTGGTCCAGATCGGCCGGTTTCCCCGAAGGGCCGACCGTGCCCTCCACCTGAGGGCCGATTACCCTTTTTGCGTCGCCCTGTAGAGGGCATTATACACGTAATAACGGCCGGACAAACTGTCCGCGGCCGCGGGGTGAAGGGGGAGGCCAGAAGGGAGGGACGACGTGGCCTTCGCGGAGCTTCGGAACAAGAACTCGGGAATCTCTCTCATCGCTCCTGCCGCTCGCGCTCCGTCATTACTCTAATGATACCTCTCCTCCGGTCCGCTCTTTCGCGAACCGATCCTCTCCTCCTCGATCCCGATCCCTATCCCTGTCCTTTCCGCCCGGTCGCGTCGCCAGCCTCCCCCGATCGCCCCCCTCCTGTTTTTTGTGCGCCTCCACGTACCCCCCGTGCGATACCGAGATGGAGAATGTATACCTCCACTCGACCGGTTCGCTCGGTCTTCCTTTTCCATCCTTTTATCGGGGTAATAAGTTACATAGAGAGTAGATTCCAGATCCATAGATACTATATTAACCATAGATACTAGATTAGATAAAAGGTGGAGGGAATTTGTGCGTGCTCCCCTTCTTCGTGGCTATGCCTCCACTCTGAGGAAAAAAAGGAAAAAAGATATGCATTGAGCCGAAGAAATATTTTATTAGTGCAAGGAATAATGATTTCACTGAAATTGACGAGAGTTAATTTTTCTTTGAATTAATGAAGTGTTTTTTTATTCTTTTTTTTCTTTTTGGTACACGTGGGTAATAATTTATACTAACGACGTCGTAGATTTCCGTTAGTTTGGGAACCTTCGGAACTTCCGGAAAGTCAAAAAGAGGTAGAAAGAAGAGGAACGATCGTTTAATTCCTCGTTTTGTCGCCTCTCGTCGGCGCGCGACAACAAAGGGCCGACCGGGGAGGAAAAAATGTGGCAAAACCGCGGAGGAGCGTCGGGTGGCGTTTTCCCACTTTGTTCCGGCATCGGTCCGTTCTTGGCCTGGCGTGCAATAAGCAATTATTTACGGGCGTTTATCAAAGGCTGCTCTGGGAGCGGAAGGGAAATTCGGAAACCCCGCCTGGGAAAATCCTCCCCGGGGACGAGAGTTCACGATTCGTTTGACCCCACGCCGAGAGGATCCAAGTGGTCCGGATGCTGCGCTTATTGATAGCGCGAATACGCCCATTAGAGATTGCGTTAAAAGCCAAATTAGCTGGGCGCCGCGGATTTACCGGATGCGCCCTTTTAGAGAGAGAGAGAGCGAGAGAGCGAGATTTATGCTCCAGGATTAGGGAGGCTGCGAGCGATCTTCCTACTGGAGAGAAACGAGGGATGCTGAAAGAAGGAACGAAACAAATGAATCCTTGAAAAAAAATCCTCCTTCGATCGCGAATCAGTTCACCGAGAGGTATATCGCACATATATCGACTCCGAGATGATCGAGGGTGAGCACCTACGAGGCAGTACAGGTGATCACCTGTAATTAAGGTACATGACTTTTAACGTCGTGAACCCGAGGACGCAAAAACTCGATCGGTCCGAGCGAAGGCGCCCTCTTTTTTCTTTTTATTTATATGTATACATTTAATTGCGCGAAGTCGGTAATGGCGTCTCGTTTGCTCCCCTCGATCTGGGCAATTGAATGTTACCGTATGGAAGAAAAAAATCGAGCTGCCTATTAGCGTCGCGTTAGAACGATTTGTCGAAACGTCGATTTCCCCTCTGCGTGAAGTATAGGGTACAGAGAGTCGGCGGTGTACCTCGGTTTTATGCAATGAGAGGGGGGAACGAGGTTTGCGATCGCACTTTGAATTACGGTGGCGGTCGATTCGGGCGTTCTCCAAAATGGCGGCGGTTGAGCAAGACGCGCGCAAGACCATGGACACCTCAGGGCACGCTCGTTGCGATGCACGAGCAATGCATAGGGAATGCAAGCCATTGTTCAGGGAACCGGAAGTCGTGTCAAGACTTACGGCTGCCCTCGGGTCCAGGCTCGAGACTTCGGCATTAATATCGCCGATAAGATAGGGATCTCTCCGAAAGAAAAGGGAGCCGGATTGATGGCGACCTGTCGGTCCATCGCAGGACCGGGGTGATACGAAGGAGAGAAAGAGTCGGATAAGAGAGAGATTCCGCGAGGATGACGAGGTGGTGACTGGTAGCCGAAGGTGCAAGGAGACGGCGGCCATTTTGGTCCCGATATCGCGGATGTAATCGATGGCTCGCCAAGAAACATGGGTGGTCCATGTTCTGCGGACTGCTTACTCGGGTGGTAACTGCTAACCCTGTATCTTTATCCCTGGTCTAGACTGGTATCACGATATATAACGTAATATGCACATGGGGATACATATTTGGCGCGAAACCCGGCCGACTTTCGAGGCTCGGGGTGGGAGGGAAATAGGGTTCGCTTGGATTTTCCTTTGATTTATTTTATTAATTTATCTCATTTAATTAGTTTCATTTAATTCACTTAATTCCTTGTTCCGTATATTTTGGTAGAATTTTCGGTTTTCGCTCTTAATCTCGGACCCGACTAGTGGAGAACGGGCCGCCATTTTGGTTCCCGTGTTACAGATGCAACGAAGGACTATTCGAGGAACACGGGTGGTCCATGTCCTATGGACGGCTTACTCGAGTAACTACCTGGTATCGGCCCAATCTATGCGACTTGTGTACTCGTCCTGCACATATGTACCTTCCATGCAAAAGCACATACATCGGTACATGGACGGCTCCACGACCCCGGGGCATGTCTCCAATTCGTCCGTCGACCTCGTTCCGTGATTCCGGCACTTCTGGTAATGAGTCGTGAATCGGATCGATCGATTCGCGATATCGCCTCCCGGTCGCCGATTATCATTCGGGGTTATCACCGATTCGCGGGGTCGAAATTCTCTCTTCGATTATCTTTTCATCCCATTCCAGGAATGAGGTTACGTATTTTGGTACCGCTTTATTCCCCTGTTCTCTGTTCCCTGAAATTGCCGAGGAAAAACACGGGGAGGTCCTTCTCGAAGTGAAAAACGAATCCTTG